GGAGCGATACAGACAAGCGCGGCATAGACAAAACTTTGTTTTCCGAAGGAAGAAGCGTCAGCAGGAAGACCGAGATCGTGAGGCGATGGAAAATCTGTACCACGTATACGACCCACGGAAATTCTACGAGAAGCTAAATAGTTCACGCAAAGGCTACGTGCCGCAAGCTGATATGTGCAAGTATTTGGACGGTAACTGTCTCACGAACGAGTGTGAGGTGATTGAGAGGTGGAATCAGCACCTCAACGGAGATGTGGCAGAAAACGAGGGTGGCACGGCAACAGACCTGATCTTCAAGAAGTTGAGGAGGAGATCGGTCGGCTGAAGAACAAAAAAGCAACTGGTGTAGATCAACTACCAAGTGAGCTAATAAAAGGTGGTGAAGCACTGGCTAGAGCACTGCACTGGGTAATTGCCAAGATTTGGGAGGAGGAGATATTACCGGATGAGTGGATGGAAGGTGTCGTATGCCCAATCTACAAACAAGGGCGACAAATTGGATTGCTGCATACCGCGCGATCACACTGCTGAGCGCCGCCTACAAGGTACTCTGCCAAATTCTATGCCGCCGCCTGTCACCATTTGAAAGAGAGTTCGTGGGGCAATACCAGGCGGGATTCATGGGAGCCCGCGCTACCACGGACCAAACTTTCGCAATTCGGGAGTTTCTGCAGAAATGGCGCGAATACAACGTGCCCATACATCATTGGTTTATCGATTTCAAATCCGCATACGAAACAATCGAACGAGATCAGCTATGGCAGATTATGCACGAGTACGGATTTCCGGATAAACTAGACATGAGAGGCACGATCTTGAGGAAGTCCATCCAGCTTCTTGGCCTCGCCGATGACATCAACATCATGGCACGGAAATTTGAGACGATAGCGGTAACGTACAGCAAACCGATGGCTGAAGCTAGGCGGATTGGACTTGCCATCAACGCATCGAAGACAAAATACAAGAGAGGAAGAGGTTCTAGGGAAGATAATGTTAGCCTCCCACCCCGAGTTCAGATTGACGGTGGCGAATTCGAGGTGGTCGTTGAGCTCGTGTATTTGGGCTCACTGGTGACCGCCGAAAATGATACCAGCAGAGAAACTCAAAGACGCATTATGGCAGGGAATCATGTCTACTTTGGACTCCGGAGGACGCTCCGGTTGAATAAAATTCGCCACCGCACGAAGTTGACTAAATATCTAGAAGATATGATTAGACCGGTAGTCCTATACGGCCACGAGACCTCGACCTTGGTGTTCTCGAACGGAAGGTGTTGCGTACCATCTACGGTGGAGTGCAGATGGATGACGGAACGTGGAGGAGGCGAATGAACCACGAATTGCACCAGCTGCTGGGAGAACCATCCATCGTCCACATTGCAAAAAATTGGCGACTATGGTAAGCTGGGCAGTTCGTAAGAATGCCAGATGACTACCCAGTGAAAATAGTTCTCGAAAGTGACCCAACAGGAACAAAAAGAAGAGGCGCGGAGCGGGCAAGGTGGATCGATCAAGTAGAAGGTGACCTGCGAACCCTTTGCAGACTACGAGGCTGACGAAGTGTGGCCATGGACCGAGCAGAAGAGGCGGAGACGACTTCTTCGGACAGCAGAGGACAACAATGCCTTAGCCTGATTGGCAAGGTAAGTGGCATATGTGTTCTGCGTGAGTTTCCCAATCTTAATCTCAAACATAGTAGATGTTGAGAAAAGTGTGAATTTGTGACAAGAAAATTAATATTTTCTTTTCGTTTCCCTTTATATTCACAGGCTGAGCGATTTCCGACTAATTCGCAAATCCATTAATTTTCGTATTTTTTTAATTGGCTGAAAATGTTCAGAAACGTTCCTCATTACCAAAAATGTCATTTTGTATCTTCAGATCACCATTTTAAATCGATCCTTAATCCTTTGAAAAGGGCCTATAGGAAATTGTTTAGCTTATCTTCAAAAAACTGTTACTCGAGTAATGTTTGTCCAATCGGTTTGGTAGCTTAGACAACATTGTAGGGAACATTTGGAACTATTTGAAAAAAAATGAACCCTTAAGAAATTTCACTATTTTTATTTTATGTTAAAATGTATACTTATAAATCATTTTCCTTCAAAACGGATTGTTGCAATATTTTTTTATATGTTTTAGGGGACAATGAATGTCACCTATTGCATAAAAGGTCAAGATAGAGAAATAATGGACATAAAAGATATGATTTTTGAAAAAAACTATCCAAAAAATCAGTTCAGTTATTTTTTCACCATATTGAAACATGCATTACATGCACGCCATTCTGAAAATTTAACATGATCCATAATAGCCGAATTTAAGCAAACATGTGAATCATTGCCCGTAGCAAAAAATTACGCAAAGTTTTATGTAAATCGGAGACGGTCGAGTTAATCCTATTCATCATTTGGCATGGAATTGCTCATTAGGACAAAATATAGAGATACCGAAGTTACCAACAAGCCCGCTAATTCGTCTTTTTGCAATATGAGGCTGATATAGGGCTAACATTGTAACAAGGACGCTTTCCATATAGATAGTTATTTATTTAGATAGTTCAGAATTCATATTTATACAATATACTCATTTAATCAAATTGCATGAAGTTTCGTTTTTTCAATTAAATTCATAAATTTGTTCACCGCCAAAGAATATCCACTCATGTTGAGTTACACTTGTCATACAAAATGAGTTCCCTGCGTTCAGATGCAAGCGCAAAATAAAATGTAACTGCCTGTTGAGCGTACCGACGCGACCGCGTCGAGAAGCGGACATCGACCCGCCAAATTTCCATTTAAAATGCGTTGACCTTTTTTCCGTTCGGCTTTGCGCCCTCCCCCTGAATTTCGGAGAGAAATTGCCTGGATGCTTGAACAGCTCATTAGAAAGAGATGCAGCGAAACCCTAACAATCAGGTGCACAATTGCGAGAATTTTGGCGTTCGTGAAATTGGACTTCGTTCAATTCCACGATTCCGGGGCAAAGTTCTATACTAGCGGCTAACTGAGGAATGTCCTAGCTTGAATCGTTCAATTCGAATCGACTCGTGGAAGAGGCAAGAGTGGTCAGTTTTCTTATCGTGTCGTGGTGTGTTTAAACAGGTAGTTAACGACATGAGAATCCCTAGTAGGATTGTTAAAACATTTCCCTTTCCTTTAGAGACAAGTTAGGCAAACTCTAGCTTGTGCAGTGCAGTGGGCGGCAAAGTGTGGGGATCCAGAAGTTCATGAGGTAAAGGTAGTAATTCCTAGACTACAAAATAGGTCGACTTACTAGCGTGCGCGTGTGTTATCCCCATAGGTTCGTGGCAGCGAAGGCCATTTGCCGACACACCACCTTTCGTGAGAAACCACTTTTAACCCCACCTGTCGACTGCGGAGTATCTCCGAGGCACACGTGGTCGGAAGAGGTTACGTCAATTAATCTACGCGATCTGGACAGGCAGGCCAAACGAAACCGTCATCGGTATCTGTCGGAACACCGAACAACAAACGCAACACGTGGTCGTGGGTACGGACGAACGAACGCATCCCAAGTAACATTGCAGGTTTTATCGAGGTTTTATAGCATTCTACAAGTCCAAATCATGATCTACAGAACCCTCATAAAACCGAAATTGTTACTTGGGATGTGCCGCGTTCCCGCGTAAGCCCGCGCTTCCGGTGAGTGAGACCAATCAGCATCGTATGATCGCATCCGCGATAGTTTCTGGGCCGAAGTAGTGCGTACGCGGCTTCGGTACCGCGCGCCGCCGTCTCCTCATCAAGCTGCAGCGACATAAACCCTAGGTATAGTCAATCGTGAGTACATGCATGTAACCCATTTCTCGTTGTATCGTCCATGCGCATGAGACCGAACGAAAGTCCGTGAGAGTCTCACTGAATGGGTTAACCAGTGAAAACCCGAAGCACCCGAAGAACAGGAATGGTTAGGAGGACACACGCTGAACACACGTCTGGGAAGGATAGGAAAGAGGAGAGGAAAGGGAAGGGAAGATGAAGGCCTAGGCAAGCAGACATGTAGAGAGCAAACAATACAAAAACGAATGTACCGATCGGAAAAGCTTGTTTTATTCGAGTGGAGCTTTGGTGTCGAGATGGGCTTAGGTAAAGGGCAACAATTGTTATGTTCCTCTTAATAAATACCGTTGAACACCCAATTACCTGGTTTTCTTATGATAGCGTACTAGGAAAAACTCTCAGGTTTTAACGTCTTCGGTAGTTTACTGGGATGATCAGCCCGATTCTGATCTCTGGCGTCTCTCGAATCTTAACAGTTGGTACGATAGATCGTTCTGGTTAGGCCCGTGATGAAAACCCCGCTCACGTGACTTCTGTTCTGGACGAATTGTTGTTCTTGTGCACCTGTATTTTTTAGGGACTTCGCGGGAAATCTTCTTGGGCGAATCTTTCCCGCAGCCAGTCAGCATTCTCCCCGTATTCGGGAAACATCGGCCTAATCCTCAGGAAGGTCTCAGGCCGGGCAAACCTGCAATCTGCTGAGTGGTCTCCTTTTGGGAGTGGCGCTTAAATCACCCATGTTGTAAACGGAAAGCTCGACAGGCTGGCGGTTTATAACATAGGGCATGCTACACACTTAGATTTTTTTGCCGAGATGGGCACCACCGAGCAGCTCGGCATTTTATTTTGCTGGAAATTCAGCAAAAAATATGTTTGTTAGCAAACTTCCCGTTTGTTAGCTGAATCTCGGCAAGTTTTTCACTGAGATCCAGCAAAATAAAATGCCGAGCTGCTCGGTGGTGCCCATCTCGGCGAAAAAATCTTAGTGTGTAAGCTTTATATTAGCCGCATATTAGTCTTATATTGCAAAAAAAAAGGCAAATTAGCGGGCTTGTTGGTTACTTGGGCAGTCTGTACTTCCATCAAGTAGAGAAGAATTCCGACCCAAATAATATCGAGTAACGGATAGTTAATTTTAAGAACGTTAGAACTGAGCAGGATTTTTTTTCGGACATCAATCAGCTCCTGTTTGTGAAAGTTCGTTTGAAATAGTTCGTTTATTAAATACACTCTTTGACGAGACAAATAAATAGCGTGAGCACATGTAACGAAAATAAATAAATAACATTAACGAGATTTGTCTTCTTTTTGTGTTGTTGTTTTGTTTCGCATTAACGGTACGCAGTCATCCCTCGGCTTCGATTGGGCGATTCCAATCGGCAAGGTTAACAATACCGTGATTGGTTGATAGGATGTCGTTGAGATTTGTTTTGCATTTTTCCTCCTAGAAAAGTTTCCTTTTTTTTTGTTCAATTTTTGGCTTGAGTATTATCTGTACATTTGTTCAATTGACTACTTAAAGAAGATGGTTGGTTTTCTTTTTTTTTGGTACATTTTTGGTGGGGGTTTTAGTAGGCGTGAGCCGAGTTCGACGACGAGCTGGAAGAGGACGATGAGGATGAAGGCGACGAGCTGGATGAGGATCCCGAGTTGTAAGCGGTGGCACTGTACGAGCCGGAGTTGCTGGATCCGCTGGATCCACTGGAGCTCGGGTAGTAGGAGCTGTAGGCCAAGTTGTGCGACGAGGACGAGGTGGATGGTTCCCAGACGCGAGAGTATGGTCCACCGGATTGCGACTCCCAGCTGGGTGCGCTGTAGCTGGACTCGGTGGTGGCTGGAGCGGGGGCACTGTACTCGGCCGTCGGGGGCATCATCGGCATCATCGACATCATGGGCATTCCGAGGCCGGATTTCTTAACCAGCTGGGCGACGAGGAATCCGAGCACCATGGTGATGGCCAGCTTGGACAGAATCAGGGCCTTCATGGCCTTGAGGCCGATCAGGGCGACGACGATTGGCATCAGGGCCTTCATCTTCAGCTTCAGCAGCAGCAGCACTGGAAGCAGGAGTTTCTTCTTCAGTAAATGACCACGCGATTCTGGGGGTGGTGGTGAAGTGCATGGCGATGCGCAAAGAAAGAGGAATATGAGAGGGTTGCGGATTAGTAAGTTAGATGGATTTTGATATACTTTTTGATTTGGTTTTGGGTATGATGAGTGGTGGTTCGATATTTGGAATGATTCTGATATGTAATATCAGTTTGGATGCTTGGATAATATTTGTTGTTTCAACCAGGAATCTATTGCTGATTGTTTGAATTCACCAGTGAGGTAATATATTTTGTTGGTTGGTAAAATTCAATAGCATGCAAATTTCCATGTTATTATATGTAGAGTTGATTGAATTGAATTCTTTTTGAGCAGACTTAAAATAACGTTCGTTTTTATTTTATTTTTTTCCTTGATTTGTTTAGCGTTGATCTTGTTTTCCGTACTGAGTAGCAATGCTCTCGATAAGTATTTCCTAACTGGAACATCCCGGGAGAAGGTTCCAGGGACATTTATTAAAAAAACACATTTACCGGTTCCCAAGAATCGACAATATATTTTAGAAAAGTCATGGTTAGTATAATGTCTTACTATTAAGAAATAGGTCATTCCACATGGAAAACAATTTTATGAAAATTAGATTTATTTTTCCGAAGGAAGTTGAAAGAAACCCCCTTTGTAATTTGAAGAAGCATATACTGGAAGCTGGGAGAAATATTCAGGGAAACAGGAAACAAATCGGGGTTCATAGCCTAGTTAGTAAAGGCACGGTATTACCAAGCCGAAGGCAGCGGGTTCGATTCCCGGTCCGGTCGAGGGAGTCTTGGGTTGGACATTTTCTCGACTTCCCTGGGCACAGAGTAGCATTGTGCTTGCCACACAATATACAAATTCATGCATTGGTATTGGCATCGAAAGCTCTCAATTAATAACTGTGAAAGTGCATTTAGAACACTTAGTTGAGAGCACGCAATGCGAATAAGAAGAAGAGGAAGCAAAGCGAGAGAAACATCCAATGGAAACCAGTAGAAATTATCCGCTATAAGTAGGTATAATGAACCGAGCCGCTGTTGAATTGCTTTCGAATTGTTGGCAATCTGGAAGAGTATTTTCTCGGCAATCAAACCCGGTTTATCGTCTCTACTACCAACGCGTTTGCAACGTTTCGGGAAGATAACCGAATTTAATCGCTAAATGACTGATAATCTTGGAAAATCGTCAACCGAGTTACGAAAAACTTTCATGGTAAATTGAAAGAACTTTCGAGAGATGACAGAATGAACTTCTGGTGAACTGGTGAAACTTCCGGAACAGGTGGAAAGGCTTCTGGAGATATTCGGAAGACAGTTACAGAATATTTCGGAAAAATCTTCCAATGTAAGCGAAAATAAACTTCCGTTCGATGTCGGTTACAACATCCTGGGAGGTCGGAAACCAAAACATTTTGTTGGAAAATACTTCCGGGGAGAGTCTGGAAAATCTTCCAAAGGAAATCGAAAATAAACCTAGGAGAACTCGATACAAAATTAATCTGCAAGTTAGAAATGCATATTGACAGAGAATCAAAAATATCTCAAAATGACAAAGTGATGCCAAAAATTTCTCTGCAATACAGCTTGATCGAAACGGAAAAAGGAAAAAGATAAAATAGTTTGTAAACTTCTTCACAACCTAGGAAAGAATACACATAAGTAAATGGGGAATTTTTGTTTTATGTCATCAACCACGTTTGTTGCAAAAAAGCTTGCAAATAATTTTATTTGTTTTTTCCTTCCACCGTTCCGATCAAGCTAAATATATTGCAAAGGTAGTTTATTAAGGTAGCCGTTGCAAGCGTTCTGTCTATATTGTTGGTTGGTCTCAATTTTTTTGAATGCCTTCTTATGGATTATTTACACTTGTGCTGGTGTGCTGGTGCTAGTGTACTAAAACTGTACTAAAAAGTAGTCAACATAATGTAAACAGCATGAGATTTCAGGAACAACTGAAATTCGTGCTAGGGGAAACGCTCCTATAGTTGCGGTACGTTTTTTTTTATCTAGTTCGTTTATTTGGAAGGCTCAATTGCGTTAGCTTTACGGAGCCGATAATTCATTGTTCACTGTGTGTAACAAAATTCACTTAATTCTATGTCTAGTAGGAGTTGGGCCGATTACTCGCGGCTTACTCGAGGTTAGAAGGGTACATTTTCGAAGGATAGGATCAGGGGAGGAGCTTGGGGTATTGTTGCGGTACGTTAGAAGCGTTAGGTTCCTATAGTTGTGCATGGAAACTCAATAAACAACTATATTATTATTATTATTTAACTTTATTAGGGAGGCTTTCAGCCTTGGGCTGGTTCGCCTCCAACTAAACTATTTCTAAAATCTGTTATTGCATAATTACTATAGATTTCAAGATTTTTCTAAAAACCTTCCCTTTCAGCGCAAATTCTGAATTTTTCTGATTAATTTGGAATACTGGAACCACTGCACAATGGTTCCGAAGCCCTAGTTAGCTGAATGAACATAGAAGACCAGCGCAATGTTGCGTAAAGTTGTAGAGCTAGTCATTTGCTAAAGAAACGAATTGTCTATCTCTTATGAGACCCGTTTATTTTTAATAACTAAATTAGATAGTTGAACATGCTAAGCTTGAAAAAAAAGACTTAAACTGGTCATATTATTTTCTTCTCTCTATATACAATTTTCACACTGCCGTACTCTAACGGAACTATCAATTCTATGCTTCCATCTCCTCATCTATCGTATAAAAATGACCACTTTAGTCTGTTATGTGAAATTAGCATCTTCAACTATGTAAATCGTTAACTTCACGCAGAAGTAATACAAGCAAAATAGTTAAAGAACTAAAAATAAAACTTTCTCCAAATCAGCAATTCCCTAAAACTAATGGCTTAGGCACAAATATTTATATCTTCCTTAATTCGGGCTAGGACCATTGTGCAAAGGTCATAAGTATCTTTTGGAAGAAACCGCAAGGAAGTCTAACGACAGTTACTCACAGGCGATGCGAGAATGAATTTTGGGAGATGCCGGAGGAAACTTCGGAAAAAATTACAAAGGACAGCCCTTGTACGCAATGGTGACAATAAATCTTATTTGCTAACTACAGCAGGAGCTTGTGTTTTGTGTAGGAATAGGAATTTGAGCGGGGTTCTCTCTTTAGTATGACGCACTTGACATAGATGGCCCCACAGTGACTCACGAAGAGCTACTGATTCCGATCAATAGCTGTGCCTCTTCTTTCTCCTGCTATGGATGGTCATGTGAGCTGCAGCTTGCTGCTTGCAGGCAGCCTTTCGTTGTGTACTGGAGAACACCACCGCTCACCACGCGGTGATTGAATACACACCGTTTGGTGAGACCGGATGGAATTCAACTTTGAAATCTGTGTTAGCGAAATCGCTTTCGGTGATAATTTTTATTATCATAGCAACAGTTGCACATTCGTGCAATTTTCAATAGTGACATTATTAAAAATTATAATGTCTTAACTTTAATAAATGCGTATGAATATTTCTGCGTATGAAATTGGTTCAGGGGCTGTTGAGTTATTAACTTTCAAAATCTTTCAAAATATTGTTACATGTTCCATTTTTGGTTTTCACAAAGTGTACGTAGTCCTACGTCAAAATCCGGGATAATTGCCTATGGGAAAGTTGGTAGAAATTCGCGGAGAAGTCCAAATTTCTGAAGAAGATCCGGAGAAATTTGGATTCCACGATAGATAGGAGAAACTTCCGGGCGAGGTTAGAAGGAATCTTCTGGTAGAGGTAGGTAAAAACTTCCTATGATGTCGTAAGAAAATTCCTGGAGAAGCCGGATTTTCTTATGGATTGTTCAACAGTAGTTTAAAATTTAACATTCTGATAAACCTATCACTGGATAAAAGTATAACGATACAGTCATGATGATATTTTCAGATCAGTGAATTTCAAAGATAAGCATCCATAACGTGCAGGGTAAGGTCAGAGATGTTCCAGTATAGATCCGGAAGGATTTCTGTATAAGTCTAGAGGACTGCTAAAATTCCTGAATGAAGTCTACACCGTTCGAAATAGTAGTGTAATTTTTTGTTACTATGATGCTATGATACTTAAATTTTTGAGACATGTCCTGAGATATTCCCTGAATTGTATGCAACCGTCGTTTACATGCATGAATGTTTGCATGCATGAATGTTTACATCACCAGTAAAATTCAGATTTTTTTCTGTGTAGAAGAATTTGAAAAGAATGTTGAGATAAGTTCATTGGTCTTCCAGGAAAAGTGCTGAGGGCTTTAGTTTAGTAATACCATAGAAGTAACTCTAAGACTAGAAGGTCTCGAAGAAACGTGCTCAACTTTTTGGCTCAGCTCTGGTACTGTCTTCCGTCACAAGCTAATCGATGCACCCCTCGAAACATAGGAAAATCCACGAGCCCCTCATTTTATCTGTCAAACTTTCATAGCGAATCAAAACAAACATAGTGTAGTACTAGAATTTCGACTAGAATGGGTTATGTTCATCAAAGTACTTGGAAGCGATAGGCTAGTCCAGTCTGAACCAATTTAACATCGTTCCACCGGTTGGTAGTACAGTGCTTGAGGAATACATATAACAATGAATAAATATGTAAATCTCACTGTTGAAGTTGGCATCTTTGCTATCTCAATCCGTTTGGAGCTTGTAAATTTTAACGGTAGATGGCAAATTGTTTCTGTCTTAACACTCCAAACACGATGCCTCTGGTAAAATGTGTAACGGTAAAAAAATGTTTAAACAATAGCTCAGCCAATTATTAATGGATGTCAAATCCATTGGCGCCATTTGAAACTTCGATATCAAAAGATTTAAAATGTATCGATAAATTGCTGAGCAATGATTTTTAAAGCATCGCCACAAACGTTACACATTTTACCGGAGGCATCATGTTCGGAGTATTAATAAGCATTCTTTGAAGAAAGTGTGAGAGAGGCCAGCTTGACATAGTTTCTTCGCTGGAAGACTTCAAGCTTAACAAAACATTAAGTCCTAAGTAACATCGACAGATTCTCTTCGTCGACTT